TTGGCGCATCACCACTTCTGGAGGCAGGTTGTTCCACTGGTTAAGTGATTTAAGTGATTGTCCACTAGGATTCCAAGATCCCTCTCACAGTTGCTACTATTGAGCAAGGTACCATCTATACTATATCTGCACATTTGGTTTTTCTTGCCAAAATGTAGAACCTTTTTTTTTCACAATTTAATTTCATTTTATTAGATAGCGCCCAATATTCAAGTCTGTCAAGATTCTTCTGTATCTTAAGCCTATCTTCTGAAGTGTTGGCTATTCCTGCCAGCTTAGTGTCGTCTGCAAATTTGATGAGTTCCCCATCTATCCCCTCATCCAAATCATTGATGAAGATGTTGAAGAGCACTGGGCCCAGAAGAGAGCCCTGGGGCACCCCACTACACAATTCCCTCCATGTAGCTGCAGTTCCATTGAGGACAACATGCTTAGTACAGCCGGTCAGCCAGCTACGAATCCAGCTGTCTAATCCACATTTTTCTGTCTTATCAAGTAGTAGGTTGTGATCTACTTTATCAAATGCCTTACTGAAGTCCAGATAAATTATATCCACAACATTCCTCTGATCCACTAATTTTGTCACTTGGTCAAAGAATGTAATAAGATTTGTCTGACATGGTCTGTTTTTGATAAACCCATGTTAGCTTTTGGTAATGATTTTGTTTGCCTCTAGGTGTTCGCCAATTCGTTGCTTGATTATCTTTTCCAAGATCTTCCCAGGTATTGAGGTCAGGCTGACAGGTCTGTAGTTTCCTGGGTCCATTTTTTTTTCTTTTTTTGAAGATGGGAACTACATCAGCTCTTTTCCAGTCCTCTGGTAGTTCCCCAGTGCTCCAGGATCTTTGAAAGATATAGTTCAGTGGTTCTAAGATCATATCTGCCAATTCCTTCAGAACCTTGGGGTGTAGATCGTCTGGTCCTGGTGATTTGAACTCATCTAGGGTGGACAGGTGCTCACTTACCATTTTCTTGACTATCTTAACTTGTGCTTCTGATCTGTTTTTTTTTAAAAAAAGATTTTATTGAGTACAAGGGAAAAAAAGGATTAAAAAACATTGAACATGGTAAATAGTTTTTGACTGACATCTCAGTCCATATTGTACATTAATTACATATAATATATCTATATACAACTATACATTTCTGATCTCTATCTTAACTTATCTCTTTACTGTGACCTCCATTTTTTCCCTCCATCTATAAAATTTATTCCATATTCGATAAAATTCTGTTTCTTCCTGATTTTTTTAATCTTTTAGTTATCCTATCTAGTTCTGTGTAATACATAATTTTCTTTATTAATGCTTCCCCTTTGGTACTTAAAGAGATCTTTGAATAACTGATGCGATACTCCATGCTTAACATTTTTATCAGTCCTTCAGTATTAATTAAGAAACAGTCACAGCAGGAATTCCAGGAATGCTTTTTATTATAGAAAGGTAGAATAGCAAAATCTAGGAAGCCCATCCAAGACCTTCTCTGACCTATCTTATATTGAATAAAATCAATGCAATGTTATCTCTCTGTCTCAGGACAATCTCTTCCCCTTAGTATCTCTCTCATACTTTCCCCAGATCTATTATAAACTTCTTTACACATTTGCTTTGTGGCCCCTAATTTGAACAGGCCTGTTCACTAATTTTATTAATAGATATCTGATAATCTACTAAGAATACAGCATTTACAGGCACCTTAAGAAAATGTAGTGGGCTGAGGGAATGACCTTGAGAGACAGGAAGAGGAGATGTAGCCTAGACAACTATTTGATTTGAGAATGAGTCCAAAGCAGGAATGGTGATTTTATTTATTTATGAGACTTATATACTGCTTTAAGTGCAAGCACTCTCTAAGCGGTGTACACCAGTAAGCAATGTATATATATTTTATATTGCCCCCAACAATCTGGGTCCTCATTTTACCTACCTCAGAAGGATGGAAGGCTGAGTCAACCTTGAGCCGGTGAGACTTGAACCGCTGACCTGCTGAACACAGTCAGCTAAAGTGGCCTGCAGTACTGCACTCTAACTGCTGCGCCACCTCGGCTCTTATGGAGAAAGCATCTCAGAATTGACTGTCCAGCACCTCAGAATTGACCCTCCCTCGTTCTCTGGAATATAATGGCGAGACTGATGTCAGCCCTTCAAGATGGTCCTAATCAGGAAACCAAAGCCCAAAATATTAATGCTTCCTTTATTGTGAGTTTACAGTAACAGAATCTTGCAAGTCTAAAAAGCACTTCCTCTTCCCCTGCCTTTTCATTCCGGAGAACTAGAGGAAGATCAGTTTCGTCACCCCCGTTCCTGCTTTGAACTTTTTCTCTTATCAGACAGTTGTCTAGGCTGCAGCTCTTCCTCCTGTCTCTCAAGGCTATTCCCGCAATCCATTAGAGAAAATCCTAGTTTAAAAAAATGGCTGCACACAAGGAGGAATGGATGTAGAGAAGGGACTAGGTTGCTTTATACATTAATGTATTAAAACTGTCTTTAAGATTTTGGTCTGAGAAATGCCTTGCAATGAAGTAAAAGAGCTTCAGTCTTACTCAGTAATAAGCTGAAATATGTGAAAGACACAAACAATGGAAGAAGTATAAGACAACATTATTATATGGGTGGTATATTTCCAATTATATACACAATATATAGTTCACCACCCGCCTAATCCTTTTTTAACTTTGTAATTTGTGTGATTTCTTCTATGTGATTCTTTGAACCTGGGATCATTTGATTCTTTCCCATATGTTCTATACCAGCGATGGTGAACCTTTTAGAGACCGGGTGCCCAAAACCCACTTATTTATCGCAAAGTGCCAGGGCTGCATCAGCATTGTGGTGCCCTCAGTAGGAGGGGGGCAGGCCCACTGGGTGAATGTGGTTGCAGTGGTCACAGCAGACTGGGTGAGTGTGGCTGGGGCCAGGGCGGCGGAGGCCAGTCCATCTCCGAGGCATCCCCAGGGGGCCAACGCCGCTTGCTCACTCACTTTCTGCCCTGTCGTTTCCAAACGCCACGTGCTCGCTACTCTGGCGAACTCTGCTGGGGCAACGGCGCGCATGCCCACAGAGAGGGCTCAGAGTGCCACCTCTGGCACTGTTCTATACTATATAAGTTTACAGTGTGGTAGGCATACAAACTTGGTAGCTTTGAATTTACCCTCTGTCTGAAACACAACTAAACTTTATCAGAAAAGGAGCATGTGATTATAACCTTGAATAACTGATTGAGTTTTGTAAAGCTCAGAATTCCCCTCCCCAGATGGACGTTTAGAAAGACTGCCAAAATACCATAGACTTTTCAAGTTGACAGTAAGTCTCACAAGCAGACCTATTTCTCTAATGTCTCCTGCTGAGTTTTAAAGCCTAAGAAGCTCAAACAGTGTATATAATTTGGCATCCTCCTGCTACTTATGCTGTGCAACTCAGATTATACATAGCTTGAACTCCTGCCAGTTTTATGCACACCTATAGGACTAATAAACTTGCTGCTCATTAAATTCACCGGGAGCCCCCCTGGAAGGGTACAGAAAGTAAACTAATGCCGAAACATTACAGTTATTCTATTCCAGCAATCAGTTTGAAAGCTTTGATGTAAATAATAGTAATCTGTTTCCCCCCAATATGATCTATAGAGGCCATTCTGGACCATTTTTTGCAGAATTATAAAGTACTTGTTTCAGGGATAAAGTGGGAATGTTATTTATACATTGATTATTAAGATATGCTAATTATTAAGAAAGTTCATATCCATTCTGTCTTGGTTCATGTATTTGATTTCTTACTCATGGCCCTGAAGTTGTTTTTTTTTAAGGGATTGAATAAGGTGAAGTCAGTTTTCTAGTAATGCTTTTTCCATTAAAAAAAAAAAGGTTTAGAAAACAATCCTACAATTGTTTTACATAGATCTAGATGGCCCCATCAATGTTCTTCCTTCTGCTGTAAGATGAAGATTTCTGCTTGATTGTGCTATTTTTTTGTCTACAAAGGGTCAATATTCTGAAGGCAGAAATAGGCTGGAAAGATTCCTGTATGATAATCTACACAAAGTGAACATAAGTATTGGGTACCAGTATTTTGATGCTGTGCTTTCTATGTTCAGGGTTCCCAGGCCAGCACAACTAGTTCATCCAAATGTAAAGAGTTTTCTTTAAGAATTGTAATATTAAACATTTTTGTTGATGAGGAAATGCACATTCCTGATGCTCTTATAGTAGTCAGAATTAGATAATGCCTTCTCATTGTTATTCAGGTTTCTCTGGTCTTCTGTTCACAATTATTTTTTGGGAAGGTTGACATAAGAGATATCATGATTCATTAATCATTTAATCTCCACAGCTGAATAACTATGGACTTTAGTGAAAATAGAGATGTGTCATCAAATAATAAAGATGGAGTGATTCCCAGCAGTGAATAGTCTTTATTCCTTCTGTCTGAGCTTGGTGGTTATTTTCCTGATATATTAATTTTAGCATTATCGAATACTGTTTGCATTTATTCTTGTTTTAAATTTACTTCTCCCACATCTAAGAAAAATTATGTTTGAAAATATAGGGGAAGGGATATTAAGACCACCCTTTTGAATATAGGAGCCTGTAAGTGAGCTCCACTTTTTGTATCCTTTTGTGGGCTATTATAAGGTTGATCCTTTTGAACAGAACAATCAGTAGAAAATTGAGGAATGGATAATATCAAATGTTAAAGTATAAATCTTAATTAACAAATCTGAGTAAACGGGATCTAATTAATAATGGAAGCAATCTCTAATTTTCTCAGTGTTGAAATGATATTGTTATGAGTAACCATAATGCAAATGAAGTAGTATTTAGTGAAGCAACTCCCAAATGTATCTCCAGGTGGTAATCAAGAACATGATGTCCAATTTAGTTTTAGCAGAAACAAAGATTTTTGCATTCTATTTTGTTAAATCTATACAATAGTAACTATAATAAAGTTGATTTCTGTTTGTCCTCTTAGTTTAATGGTTTCCTCTTACTTTCTGATTTTTAGGATCCAGCATTTTCTTCAGTGATTCATGATAAACTACAAGTTCCCAATACTACCCGGAAAGCATGGAATGAGAGAGATAACCGTTGTGATGTGTGTGCCACTCACTTGAACCAGTTGAAGCAGGAGGCTATTCAGATGGTCTTAACACTTGAACAAGCTGCCAATGCAGAACATTGTGATGCTTCTCCTTGCTCTCCTCCTCCCCTTCCCAATATCCCCACCTTAGTGGGCTCTCGACATATGGGCAGTCTGCAACCCAGAGATTGGGCATACCTGTCTGCTCCTTATGCTACTTCCAATTATGCTGGCTTTCTGCCTAACAAACTCAGTGGAAAAGTGAACAACATAGGAATCGTTAATGGGATAGAGAAGAAAAATGGTTCTTTGGGACACCAGACAAAGGTCAGTGTACAGATGGCTACCAGTCCCAGCAATGGTAACATCCTGAATTCTGTGGCTATCCAGGCTCATCAGTACCTAGACGGCACCTGGTCCTTGTCAAGAACAAATGGTATTACTCTGTATCCCTATCAAGTAAGTGGCGTTAGAAAGGATTTTCCCTCATTGATTCATACCTTCAGAGTACTTTGTGGCTTTAAGAAATACATGTGTACTAATTAATTCTATGGTAGACTGTCAAGTTATTTAATATAGATTGGGTGATCTCATTTGCAGTGACAGGAATTCATGACACTAAAATAAACCAAACATGCTGTCTTATTTTTACAGTCTTCAACTTTGTCAACCATTCTGTAGATTGCAAAATTTGCAGTGCAAATAAAACCAAAGAAACACATCTTAAGGATATTTAGGATGTTGATTGTTAACAAAATAAAATTACTATAGTTATGAAATAGATCTTTAGGATGAAGCAGTAACTTGATCTCAGATAGGTTCAATGTTACTAAACGTGTTTGATAAATACAACTAGTGCTGCAGAGTTCTAAACATAAAGTAGTGTTTTCTCCAGCATGACGAATGTAGAATCCACCAGTGGGTAGGTAATATTAGCCTTCCTGCTCAGATGAGACTAAGTCAGAACTTTAGCCATGCCTCCCTCTGGGTGTGTCTTCCCAGTTATTGACTTAGTCTCAGCTCAGTAGGATGCAAAATTTTCTGGCTCCTCCTCCTAGACTAGGTTAATTATTTAGATTGTGTTCTTTAATTGAGTGTTTTCTCGCATTTAAGGTCTTCTAAATTTACTGCAAATTATTCTTTATTCGAAATTTGATTTCAATTTGGATAAATTATTGGATTGCTGCCCAGGCCTTTAGGCCTCAACGAGCCCGGCAAGCTCCTGAGGAGCCACGAGGTTCTGAAACGGCTTCTAGCTCCAGTCCAGCTGATCGGCGGGAGCACCGGATCGGCATTTAGCTGGTTTGCTGTTCCTAGGAATCCATCGGAGCTCGAGCAGACTAGAGGGCCTCTCTCTCGATTTCATTTCAACTCACCAGGCTCCATTTGAAGCAGGCGGTTCTTGGATCGCAGCAGAGGCTGCGCTACTCAACCACAAGTGTCCTGGCGAATGGGAGAGCAGAGGCCTTAGGTTAACTTTTGGGATCACTTAAAGCCCTTACTTCCAGGAGGCCCAAATAGCCTCCTTTTCGCCCTGTTTGCTGCGCACGCCATCTTGGGACAGCCAAAAACAGGGGCGGTCACCATTTTGAACGCTTTTTCAGGCGCGGTCTCCATTTTGAACGACCCTTCAGGTGCGGTCGCCATTTTGAATGACCTTTCAGGTGCGGTTGCCATTTTGTAGGGACCTCGTGTTCCTCGAGGGTTCAATTGGGCCCGTTTTACTTGCCACCGTAGCCTGCTGTGACAGGCTCCTACCAGGGGAACATTTTCCAATGCTATCTCTGGACAATTCAGTGCATTATTAAGACCCATCAGAAGGATCTGTCACTATTTTGGTATTTGCATTGCTTGATCTAACTACTCATTGGAGCATAGATTTCATTTCTCTCAATACTTGTATTACTCCGGCGAGGGGGAAGTTGTATTAGAATCCACCTGTTCCAATTAGTTTGTGACGCTGTGCCACAAGGCCTAGACAGGCAGTTCTAGTGAACTGTCTGGCTGTTTGCCATTGTTGTTCAGAGCACGGGTTTTTTTCCCTCTCTGACAATTAGATCTGCATGATTGGTTTCCCCCCATTTCTGGACGTCTCCTACCCGGAATATTCAGAGTGCAATGGCAGACAGTGTCTCGCCCTAGGCATCTCAGAGTTTTGATATTCCCCCCGCACAAGGAAAGCGCAGATCATCAGATTTGGAAGCGGGGGGAAAGGAAAAGGCCAAAACAAAGCACCTATCATCTAAGGAGACTTCCAAAGCAGCTGAGCGAGAGGCCTCGAGGAGACATCAGGCGCTGGAGAGAGAATTCTCCAAGGCCCAAAGTCTCATGTCCAGTGAAGCTGAAGTGGTTCCCCCCGTTCCACTGGACCATTCGCCATTTGAGCCTCCATATGCGCCTTCTCATGATGCCCCTAGGGCATGGTCTCCTCAGGGGGAAACTGAACAGGTTGGTCCCCCTTGCTCCTCTTCTTCCACAACACAACAGGGTTCTAAAGTCACGAATATTCCCATTGCAGCTGGTGTTAGTCCTGGAGACCAACAGGATATATGGTCACATCAGTTCCAGGCTTTCATGCACAATGCATTTACACAATTTATGTCCTCCTCCATGGGTCAACGACCCCCGCAGATACCACCCCCTCTATCCATGCCTGTTTCTCAAACGGGGCGTGCTCCGGTTCCCAGGTTCTGGCATCTCTGAGACATCCTCCCAATTAGGCGAGGAGGGGTCTGTGGACCTGGAGGTAGCCGACATGCCCATGTAAGAGGATGAGGAGGCGGCGCCAGAACAAGCGCCAACTTCTGGTCTATTTGATCCTTCCCTTTTCAGGTCTCTACTCATGAAGGCCTGTACCACGGCCAACCTCACTTCAGCACAGGAAGCTAAACCTTCCACCTCAACTACTCAGGAGTCTAATCCTTTGTTTTCAGAGGAAATTGTGGAGGAGAAGCAATTCCTTGTCCGAATGTCTTTCGCACTACGGTGGAGAAACAGTGGTCCTCTCTGGCCACCTTACCTTCGCCCAATAGCCTGGAAAAGAAACTCTACAATGTTTCTTCCTCATTTTCCTCCCTTTTGGAAGTGCCTACGGTGGACACTCCACTAACTTCATTATTTTCCACTTCCACAATTCCAGGGGATATGGCGGAGGCCCTGAAGGCGGAGGACAAGAGGTTCGAGTTCTCCCTCCGTCAAGTTCACTAGGCCTCGGCATGGGCGATTAAGGTGGCAACTTTATCTTCCTTTTTCGTAAGGGCATCTATCATGTGGCTCCGTGAACTCCAGGCGCTCATTCCTCCTGACCAGGTGCACGCACACCAGACATTGGGAAAGTTAGTGGCAGCATCTGAATATATGGCAGACGCATCTCTTCACTCTGCCAGGTACTCTGCCAGATCTATTGCAGCCACAGTTATGTCTCGCAGACTGCTGTGGCTGAAACAGTGGTGGACAGACTTGAAATCTAAGTGGCGTCTGTCGACAGCCAAGTACAGTGGTATGCATTTGTTCGGTCCGGTCCTCAAACCGTACCTAATTGAGGGCAAAGACAAACATAAAATTCTGGCACACCCCTCCAAGAAGTTGGATAGGCGGCCCCAGCAGGATTTTCCAGACAGACTTTCTGTCCAAGTGGTACCTGGGAGTGGAGGCAGCCCTTTCGGACCGGGCAATCCTGGGAATGGCCCAGAGGCTCTCGATCCTTTCCCACTAGACAGGATCGCCAACAGGACCGCCAGAACACTGGAGCCAAGGGCCAATACCAGTCCAAACACCCCTTCCGAGGCTTGGGGCCATCCTTACAGACGGTCCAAGTGACGCCAAGGAGAGCTCTCCCATAGGCGGTCGCATGTCTCTGTTCAGCGACATTTGGGAGGTTACCACCAGCGACTCTTGGGTGAGAGAGACCATAAGACACGGTCTCGCCCTAGAGTTCTTCTCAAATCCTCCAGACCATTTCATACAGTGTCCCGTCTCAAGAAACACAACCAAGGCAGAATTGGTAGCCACGGCCATCTCCCACTTGCCTTCGGAACAGAGAGGAGAGGGATTTTACTCCATTCTGTTCGTGGTACCCAAAGCCTCCGGGCGGATGGAGGGTGATACTGGACTTAAAGGGTCTGAATTATTTCTTAACCTACAGGAGGTTCAAGATGCAGACCCTAAAGTCCATTCTGGCCAGCATCAGAAAAGGGGATTTCCTTTCCTCCGTAGATCTGACAGAGGCGTACTTGCACATCCCGATCCTCCCAGAACACCGCAGATTCCTTCAGTTTTGTTACGCACACCGGCATTACCAGTACAGGGCTCTTCCCTTTGGTCTCTCTTCAGCTCCAAGGGTCTTCACAAAAATTTTGGCAGTATTGGCGGCCCACCTCAGGATGATCCCGATGTGCGTACAATGCTATCTGGATGATATACTTGTGCAATCCAGTTCTTTCCGGTCGGCTCAGTCAGACCTGGAAATCACGATCAATACTCTTCAGGATCACGGGTTTTCCGTGAATTTCAAGAAAAGCCACACTATTCCTACAAAGCGCCTCCTTCATCTAGGTGCGATAATAGATTCAAATCTTTGCAAGGTTTATCTTTCACAGGAGCGCCGGATCAGCATCCGGAGGCTTGTCCACCAGGTTTGGAGAGAGAAGGTAGTTCCTCTGGTCCAGCTGTCTCAACTGCTGGGAAAGATGGTTTCTTGCATGGGGATCATTCCGTGGGCCAGACTTCACTCCAGAAACCTTCAGTGGTTTCTCCTCCCCTTCCAGAAACGGAACCTCAGTTCATCCACAAGGAGGGTGAGGGTTCCTCACTACACCCTGTTATCTCTTCTGTGGTGGGCTTCATCCGCAATGACCAAGGGGACCATCTTCAAAGTGTCTCTCAGGCTCACCTTGACCACAGATGCCAGTCTGTTCGGTTGGGGCGCCCATCTCCAGACTCATCTGGCACAGGGTCAGTGGTCCCAGTCGGATTTAGCTCACAACATAAATTGGCTCGAACCCTGAGTCATACACTTGGCACTCCGTCAGTTTTCCTCCCTAGTGGCGGGACAACACATCCTGATTCTGATAGACAGTGTGGCAGCCAAGGCTCACGTCAACAAGCAGGGAGGGACCCGGTCATGGTTGCTCATGCTGGAGGCTTTGGATCTGGGTCTGTGGGCAGAGTCCAATCTGGGTTCTCTCAGGGAGGCAAATCGACAAGCAGATTCCCTGAGCAGGGTCACAGTCGACCACTCGGAGTGGCGTCTGGACCTGGCACTGTTCAGGGAAATCTCGATCAGATTTGGTCATCCATAACTGGATCTTTTTGCCTCCCCGATAAACTCCCAACTCCCCAGGTTCTTCACCAGGTTCCCGGCATGGGGGGGCAGAGGGAACAGACGCTCTCTCGTTCAAGTGGCGGGGGAACTGCTTTACGCCTTCCCTCCCCTTCCATTGATACAGGCAACCATTCTC